GGGAAGTGACAGCAGGTTCTTCCTCCCCGAGCAAGCTCTGCTGAGCTCTCTCTAGTTTTCTCTCCCCGCCCCCCGCCCCCCCTGCCTTGCAGATCCCAGAGCTCTAGGATGGGGCGTCACGACTGCCGCTGCCTCTAGCCAGAAAACAACCCCCTGTGACAAGAAACTCATCTTTACCTCGGGAAGCAAGACTGCTTCCTGCTAGGGCCCCAGAGAAACCAGCCCTGCCAGCCCAGCAGCCTCACTGCCAGCCAGACACTGGCAAGAGGAAGAGTTTGACTTCCCTTGTAGAAGGAAGTGGCTGATCTGGGGCCTCCTCCCAGCATGTCCCCACCTGCCAACGTTTGGTCCACTCTGACCCTCCCTGGGGCAGTCATGCCCCGGAAGGGACTCACACGGGGACAGCTGGCAAAGGCCGTTAACTCAGAGGAGCAAGGATCACATCCCCCGACTTCCCTTAACTTCCCAGTGGTCGCTAGCAATCTAGGACTCAGTGAGGGGGGACGGGAGCAGAATGTTTGGGAAGGAAATGTCAGCCTCTCACACGCATGTCTTCTGCTGCAGCCAGGGAGCAGTGAGCTGGCTCACAGTGAGTCTGGGCTTCCCTGGAAGCTGCTTTCCACTTTTTGGAATTCACTTGGGGCCCTCAGGCTCCTCACAGGAACCCTGAGATGGACACGCTGAGGCCAGCTGGCTACCATTATTCCCACTTCTCAGATGAGGCCAACTGAGACCCTGGGACAAACCTACCCCAAACACCCCCTCCAAATGATTACAGGCTGGTGGCAGCAGCCGCTACGAGGAAAGGCTTTGGAATTTGCCTCAAGACACTTATTTTCTCAGAGGTTCAGACACTTTAGCGATTGACCCAAAGCCCCATAACCATACAGGGTTATGCAGAGCAGGGATCGGCTGGAGGCTTCCCCGCCCTCAGCCCCATTCTTCTAGCATACCCAGTGCTTCCCCCAAGAGACTGGTAACTTACGTGACCAAAGGTCTTTGGAGATCACTAAGAAGTCTTCAACTGCCCTACAGTCTCCCAAGAGAAAACAAGGTCTTGATTTGGGTGATCTTTAGACACCGCACTGGAAGCCTGAGTTAGTCATACTTTCCAGTCACAGAGCTGATCTGCCTCCTGCGCAGAGTTGGGAGGGAATCATCCATCCAGCTACGCTTTTAGAGGGCTCACTCAAGGCCAGACCTTCTTCCACATGCACAGTGAGGTCCAGAACATACAACAACAGTGGGCTCCATCCGCAGTAACTGGGGACCGGGGTCCTGGCTGGGTGAGCCCCATGACTCTCTTTTCACTCTCTGAGCCCCAGTTCCTGTTAGAACGGGAAGACTGGACCTCAACAGTGGTTCTCAACCTTGGCCACACATTGAGATCAGTGGGATCCCTGGGGAACCTTACCAATACCAGTGCCTGATTCTGGTTTAAGCAGTCTTGGGTACAGCCTGGGCATTTGGGTTGTTAAAGGCTCCCAGGGGATCCCCTAATGTGCCGTGAACACTGCCAACCATGAGAAGGAACCATGAGTTTAGAAGCTCTCCAAGCCCTCTTCACCTCTGGAATATCTCAGAGTCCGAACTGAGCGTATTAACCTCCAACCCCCACTCGTTGGGAAGGGGTGCACGTGAGTGTCAGGGAGAAGGCTGTTGGGAGCAGAGGGATGTAGACTCAATTTATATGAGAAAAATGAGTGGAAATCGATTTTGTAAAAGAATAATCTAGCTTGACGTAATAATTTTTATTGAATGCTGCCACGTATCAATCACTTTTCAAAGTATTTTAGTTATTATCATATTTAATCTTTGCCACAACCCTATTGGGTAGATAATGTTATCAGACACATTTTACAGAAGAGGACGACCTAAGGTACAGAGAAGTTAAGTAATTCGCTCAAGGTCACCTGGCTCGTAAGTTGCAGCAGCAGGACTAGAAGGAGGCAGTCTGGCTTCAGAGTCTGTGCCCACCATTTTCTCTTGCCTTTGACATCTGTTTACATCGTATGACGTTTGGTAATTATCCTGTGAGGCCTCAGCCCTGTTGGCTTTGCCATTTCATCTTCCCTCTTTTCCCATTTCTTGCAAGTCCGGGCGATAAGGTTCACAATTCACCCTCACCTGTGAGGCTGCCTGATGCCAACCCTGTCATGAACTACAAGCAGCTCGGGGGTGGTTAATGAAGAGGCTTCATGGGGGTGTGGGAACATTCTGGGAAATTCCCTACTGGAGGGGCCGAAAGAGGGTCACTCAAAGAGCTCTCGAATGATGGGGAATCCCCAGGCAGTTCCCTTACCCACAGGGAAGCCAGTGAGGACCAAGGCCAAGGACAGGCTCTGGCCCAAGGCTCTGGCAGGGACTCTCCAGGCATTCTGAGCGGGGCTTGGTCCTCCTTCCTGCCAGCTCTGGTTTACTTCTCTTTGAATTTTCTAATCACAATTTCCAGAAGAGTGAAAATAGTCCCGTGTGTTCCTCCTCAAGAGAACATGTATTCGTTTATCGATTGGGTGACCTTTCAGCCCCCACCTACACTTAAGCAGGAGAGTAGTGTGTGAAGCTTATCCCTCGCACCCAGCTATGTTCAGCCTCCTGCAGTTACCAATCCCCGTCCACAAAATGCAGATACAGAGTGGAGCCCGCCATTGCTGGAGAAATCTGCGAACTGACAGGTAGGACATTTCCGAAGCCATGGTAGGACGTATGCCTACCCCTCCAACCAATCTGGGGGAATTA